TTCCTGGGCCTATTGGGCTCAATTATATTTAAATTTGAAGATGTTTATGGAGTCTGTCTTCACCACATCACTGCCTAATGCATTCTATTTATTAGCTACTCTGACACTGAAAAAATTCTTTCTAATGTCTCTGTGGCTCATTTGGGTACTAAGTTTCCATCTGTGTCCCTTTGTTAGTGTTTCCACCCATGCTAGTAGTTTGCCCTTACCTACTCCTGTTAATTCCTCTGGGAATTTTGTAGGTGGTAATCATGTCGTCCCCTAACTCTTGTCTTCCAGTGACGTAAGGTAAGCCAGTAGCCTTACCTCATAACTCATACCTCTCAGCTCCGGAACTAGTGTGATGTCATATCTCTGACCTTTCTCTTTGTCTTGTGTTTGGCTAGGTGTGGACTCTACACTGGTTCCGCATACTCCAGGAATGACCTGACATGGGTGGTGAAGAGGGTTCTAAATTATTCATCACACAGGTTATTAAAGGCAAGTCTTAGGTGGGATATTCTAGCATATGCCGCTGATGATATCCTTTTGATGTCGGCTTTTGGGAACAGGTTCGCTATGATATCGACCCCCAGAGCTTTCTACCTGATTCTTGGCGGGATTTCATCTCCCATTTGATATCTTGAGTACTGCCTCCTGCCTCCTACTCCTATTTTCATTACTTTACACTTGAGTTAAACGGTAGTAGCCATATGTTGGCTCCCTTCCTTCAGTTTGTCAAGGTCATCTTCTACTTTCATGTTGTCCTCTATCTAAATCCTTCACAGAATTTCAGCATCGTCAGCAAACATTGAGAGGAATGAGTCTAAATTCTCTGGAAGATCATTTACATATATCAGAAACAGGATAGGTCCCAGTATAGAACGCTGTGGGACTGAGGTCTCACCCCCTCGGTTACTTGCTGTTTTCTGTTGCTTAGTGATGAAAAATGGTAAAGGATATGCTTATGCTAGTGGTTTATGGCGATGGCCTAAATTCGTGTTTTTTACAGTAGATATGAGCACACACTCACACTAGGCTGTGAGATATGTGTACGTGCGAGAGCGCGCACAAGGATAAAAGGAACAGAAGGGATATGATCACAACTGACAAGATACTGAGGGGACTAGATAAGATGGACAAATATAGCCTCTTCAGACTTTGAGAAAGCAGGACATGAGGACACAGGTGGAAGCTGAAAGCCCAAATGAGCCGAAGGGACGTAAGTGCCCTGAACGGGTAGTTAGCAAGTAGAATGCTCTAAAAAAAAGTTGTGGAAGCCACCTCCATCTACAACTTTATGGCTCAATTCGACAAAGAATTTGAAAGTCAGAGTAGTTAGGTTGTAACGCAACAGGTACAAGGCTAATAGGCGGGGCATAAAGAGCTAGGCCTCACTCTCCCGTAGTCACTGATAGGTAAATACACACTAGGATGTTCATGACTGTCTGGAACCCGATGTTTTATTTTGAGAATCAATGTAGTTAAATTGTGTAAATAAACAACGTTGTTTTAATAATAAAGAACCTTATTCCGTGACATTTGTGGTCATAAATACGGTCGGCCCAAAAGGAAACAGGTGTCTGGGACGCTAAACTACGACACTATCACCTCCACCTTGTATACTATCGTACATAAATTGTCACAGTGGGCTGCGAAATGTCGATAAATCACTTGAAAAAGTTAAACACACACACGCGTGCACGCACGCACGGCCAAGCAGACATAGCTCAGGAGTCGTATTCCTAAGAGCCCGGGTTCGATTCCCGGCCAAGGAAGAAACACATAAGCAAATTTACAAATTTATTTTACCTGATGATCCTGTTTATTTAGTAGTAACTAGGTACTTGAGAGTACCTAGTTAACTAGGTACGGGCTGGATCCTGGGGATGTGTGTGTGTGTGTGTGTGTGTGTGTGTGTGTAAGAGAACTATTTAGTAGATAAGATAGATAAATAGATCGCGAAGCAGCACATTAGACAACCGACGGCTAGAAAGGCGGAGACCAAGAGTTAAGAGCTCGATCGTGCTGGCACAAATATTAAACACACACGCACCCGGAGACACGGAGGATCACAACAGACGAAGGGTGACATCTGACACGGTGGGTGACAGAACGGACACGGAATGAGATAGAATAGACACAGAATGAGCTAGAATGGATGCGGAATGAGACAGAATAGACACGGAATGAGACAAAACAGACACGGAGGATGACGCGGCCGCTGACACAAGCGCCCGTAAACACTTGTCGTGGCATATGTGAAGCAGCGAGGTGACCTTCTCACTCACCTTTGTGGGTGGTGAGGGGGGGGGGCGCCCGTGCCGCCCACACACTGGATAACGGTGGCCGGCCGTGCCGCCCACACCAGCTGACGGTGTCCAGTGGAGGTCAACACTAACAGGGTCAGAAGTGGCACGAAGCTGGACAGTGCCAAGGCCAGAATTGTCAACTTAAAGCATTTATCTGGCACTCCGCACACTGCAGCGGTAAGTGTGTGTGGCATGGTAAGTGTGCCTGGCATGGTAAGTTTGTGTGTGGCATGGTGAGTGTGTGGAAAGGAGAGTGTGTCTAGCAGGGTGAGTGCGCTGGGAGGGTGACGGGAAGGGCATGTTTTCCACACATGCACAAAATTACTTTCAAGTTAGTTTGAAAGCCTTGGTAACTTCTGAAAGTCAGATTGTGAAAAATCCTGTCTCAAGTTTAGGGTGAAAATACATACAAATTTGACGCATACGGTCCTATACACCGCAGTTGCACGGGACAGCAGGTGGCATACATAGAGAACAACTTACCCGGTGGGTAAGACGAGAAATAGGGACAGGAGGATGATTGTGGGGAAGAGTTTATTCTAGACAGAGAGATACTGCAATGGCATTAACCCAACTGCTATTGGTCTGCAAATCAATTTTGCCAGCTGCTGTGATTTATATTGCATCATATTTTGGCCGATGGGGATTTGTGCATCAAAATACGATGTACCATTCGAGAGGACAGATTCATGAGACCAGGAGCCATGGCAGGAAGTGCAAAATAGCCCCGTTGAAAAGCAGAGGTGCAATAGGTATGCCGAGACAACTCCATCAACATAATAAAGGCCCGTGGCTGTTTTAACACACTCCCTCAAGACATAAGGGACATAACTAGCCAGCCTAGTTATGTCCCTACTAGGGTAACTCACTACTAGGGATCCCTGCTAGGGACTAGAGCCTCTCGTGGTATTCAAAAGAGAAACTGATAAATACCTCCAAAGAACACCTGATCAATCGGACTGTGATTCATACGTCAGGCTGCGAGCAGTTGCGTCCAACAGCCTGGTAGACCAGATCACCAGCCAAGAGGCCTGATCAGAGATCGGGCCACGGGAAGGTTGAACCTATTTGAACCAATTGAAGGTAACCGCAAAATAAGGTGAATATCTGTTGCGACTCTTAAGCACTTGCTTCACTTGTTCATGTCGGAGCTCATTTTAGTAATACAAATTGATAACCAGATGTTAAGGTCTAGTGTAAAACAGAGTACAATGAAATCGCTTTACAGTGGTCTTTTGTTGGATGTAACTTACTCGTGGGCCAAACCTGTTAGGTGAGAGAAACCCCATATATTCACAAATGTGGTGGTTTAGGAATCGTGAAGTATTCCACACGTATGGAACAATATACCACTCCAGCACTCTGGAGTAAAATATAATACACCGAATCTGAAGGCTCTCTTTGTTTTAAATAGATTTCAATAGTATGATCATTAGTAAACACGAATTGAAAGTTCATATGCAGATAAGTAGAGAACTTAACATTCTGAGACACGCCTCTCCACAGATGAACTTTAGATTTGTGTTTACCAATAATATCATTAATGGAACCTCGCCCGTCTCACATCTGGGTCTGTGTATCATTTTGTGTGTTAGAGCTGTAATGTTAATGTTCGATTTGCGAGTGTATGTGTGTTTGTTTTCGTGTGTGAGTGTATATACTGTTTGTACCTGTAGGCTCGAGTTGTTAGCTCTTTGACCCCGCTGAGACGGGGCCGGAGGACAGGTGGCGAGACGGGGTCAGAGGACAGGTGGCGAGACGGGGCCAGAGGACAGGTGGCGAGACGGGGCCAGAGGACAGGTGGCGAGACGGGGACGGAGGACAGGCTTGAACTACCTCAATCGACCCATAAAGATTTACCAGGTGTGTAAAGAAGTGAGAAGTGAGGGAGTTTTATAGCTGTGGTGAACGTGCTGGCGGTCCGTGGCGCCTCTTGGCGCCCTCACCACATTGTCTGGCCCGGTGTGGGGGTGGCTGGGGTACTGATTTAGGGGGGAGGGGAGGCTGGGGTAGTTGTTTAGGTGGGGGAGTGGTTTAGGAGAGAGGAGGGTTGGGTAGTGGTTTGGGGGGGGGGTGCCAGGCTGTGACCAATACAAAGCCTGATCATTGTACAAAGAGGGAATGACCTACTACAGTTTAGGTAACTGGCAGATTATATATATACAATTTATATTTTTTGTTGGAGGCAGAAGTAGAAAATGCGGCTGAAGAGTGAGACAGGTGGGACGTGGCGAGGCTTGTTTAGGCACTGGCTGCCTGTTTCTCTATAGCATGACTCGCTTGGTTTATAAAACACTAATGAATCTTTGCTCACTAATCACGTAAGCCTTCAGTCTCTGTTGTTGGGACTAGATGTGTTGGTAGTAATATCTCTCTCTCTCTCTGTCTGTCTCTGTTTCTCTCTCTCATTACCAAGTCCTGCATACCCTTCCCATGTATCTTCATACCACGTCCTGTATTCCTGTCGAAATCCGGAACTGTGACTATATAACAAGCAATATTGTTGATCAGTTTCCTGAGTAGGCCACAAATGGTTAGCCACGTTTTCTTTCATCTGATATATTTGTTAACCTATTAGTAAATAGGTACCCGGGAGTTTCCCAACTGATGTGGGTTACATTCTGAAGAGTGTCAGTAGTTGGCCTATACCCTAGGTCTAGAGAGACCTCGAGAAGTTCCTGTCCTCGACAACTGGAATAAGATACTTACGGATAGAAGGGTTCTTTATTAGCCATGATGCCCCTTGCGACACGAACATACTCTTGAAGGCACTAAACAACACATTTCCCATAAGGCCTGAGTGTTTTTGAATGGCTGCGTGAGAGTATCGATCCTTAGTTGACTGTCCCGGAGTGACTGGTGTAAGAGGTGAACGTGAGTGAGGCTCTACGTCACGCTACATCCTTTGGGGAACACCCCCCTGATATGTCACACCGACAGTGACTACGTGGGGGGGGGAGGGGGGGATGTAACACTGCATGCTCTGTCTCGTAGCCTTGCATCCCTGAGGCACTTATTGCAGCTCTTGATGTATCTGCTCTTAAATCTGTAGATGGACGTGGCTGGGACCACCTCTTCCCTCCTGGCCCACCACTCACTCACCTCTCAGACAATCTCACGAAACACAACATGCGGGAATCGACGCTTCCGCTCGTATCCAGCGGATATGTTAATATAGAAAAGGCTTTCTTCCAATAATCCCATGTCAGTTTTTACTGTGGCGGTGAAATGACCAGCCCATCCTCCTGAAATAACAGTACTCACAGTAACTATTTCGTGGAAAGTACCAACATGTAGTGATGGATCACTAGTAATTCACTTTTTTAAATTTAATTTTATAGTCCTGAAAAACTAAAACTAAAAAAACATTCTTAAATATTCTTAGGCCTAGTATATCACATATATGTACTATAAGGCCTAAGATTTTGCGTATTAGGCTTAGGATTCTAGCAGAGGTTAGGCTAGATCTTATATTTATGTTGCCGTAAAAAAAAATCTAATTTCTTAAAATTTAAAATAAAAGTCAACATTTTGGTGGTTCATCATTACATATTGTATCTTGACCATATAGATCCTGGCCCCGGGCCGCGCTTGAGAAGTAGAAGAACTCCCAGAACCCCATCCAGGTACAATCCAGGTAAAAAAAGTACTTGAATTTTATAAGGATAGGCTGTAGGCCATATATGCAGCCTAGTCAACACTGGCGGCGTTGCTCATTTGCTGTTTATGTACCTATAAGCCTCAACCTTCTAATTTGAATACGTTCATTGATATATACATACCTCATTTATGATCAGCAATTGATAATTTCTTAAAGATTTACATTTTTACTTACTAACAATTCTAATGAAACGGCACTGAAGAATTAAAGATAATCCTGGTAACTGAATGATTGCTTACATCAGAGTATTCAATGATATGTGTGTGTTAAGCAACTCTGAAGAGGTCTTGTATATACAAACTTGTCATCATTATGGAGAAGATACATTACTGTATTTTATGACGAGATGTATGCTATTGCACGTGTTGATACATTCACGGTGGAAGCAACGCTGCTTTAAACTATCTGGGATTTTATAACGGAAAATGCAAGTGCAGTAAATATGATTTACCTGGATAAATTTCATGAATTATGTTACTTAATCGTTAATAAATGAGTCAGTACTTCACGGAACCTCAGGTGTGGCAACACTAGGAGCCAGTACTTCACGGAACCTCAGGTGTGGCAACACTAGGAGCCAGTACTTCACGGAACCTCAGGTGTGGCAACACTAGGAGCCAGTACTTCACGGAACCTCAGGTGTGGCAACACTAGGAGCCTGCACCACACGGAACCTCAGGTGTGGCAACACTAGGAGCCAGCACCTCACGGAACCTCAGGTGTGGCAGCACTACGACCCAGCACCTCACGGAACCTCAGGTGTGGCACACTACGACCCAGCACCTCACGGAACCTCAGGTGTGGCAACACTACGACCCAGCACCTCACGGAACCTCAGGTGTGGCAACACTACGACCCAGCACCTCACGGAACCTCAGGTGTGGCAGCACTAGGAGCCAGCACCTCACAGAACCTCAGGTGTAGCTACATTAGGAGCCACTGCTCCAACCAACTAGGTCTAATGTAAGACAAATCACAAACATTGGGGAGACAAACACAGGAGTACTATGATGTCATGACCTGTGTGTGACGGAGAAGTGTATGACGGGTCATTCACAAGGTCTTCATAGACACGAACGCGTCATGACTGACATTACGGTACTCATTCTTCAGCCCAACCCCCTGATTTGGTGGTACTTATAGTAACGATGAGGACCATAGAACATATACCGACGGTTCTTATATAACCTGAGATTATAGGTTCTTATATACTGGTGTTAGCTGGGATAGTGTTAAACAACTTTTTTTTCCTCTTTATTAAATAATATACAATATAAAGATTCTATTTACATCAATTTAGAAGGGAAAATACTGCATTATATATAGTTTATATAATTCTCAGTAAACCAATTATAAAAAATCTCCCAATCCTGAGCTTCCCATTTCTAAGTTCACAGAAAAGAGTTAGAACACTTCAACGTTACGAGAAAAGTGTTTGGAGTATTGCGTGATCACGTTACTCAGGCTTCACCGTGTATTGGACATTATAGTAGTGAGTGTGCAGTTGTCAGTGATTGGAGAGCAGATGACACAAGATACCTGCAGCTATCTCAGTCACTTGTGATACCTGAGGCTGGCACTGGTACACCTCTCTCAGTGAGGTTTACCGCCTTGTGAATGTCCTGTGATACACGAGGCTACAGTTGTCCTGGCTTGGGGGCCTTCGTTTGACACCAGAACTTGCGGCATTAAAATGTAAACAATCATTCCATGTATGGTAAACTCACATCCCGTGTATGGTAAACTAACCTAAGAGATTGGGGCATTTGATGATTCTTATAAGATATGTATTCCTCTCACGTAGTCTCAAGCAGCAACACGTGTGTTCTTTCATGTAGCTCGACCACACGCACGCACACACACACACACACACACACACACACACACACACACACACACACACACACACACACACACACACACACACACACACACACACACACACACACGGGGCCAATTTGTTGACACCCCGGGTGAATGAGGGCCGACGTAAGAGATAGGAAAGAGTGTGTAATACTTACACCAGATTTATCTTGGGTTTGTCTCCTGCCTTGCCGCCGCCGCTGAAGAGAGCCATCACCCAGCCGCTGTGCTCCCCCTGCCTCTCAGCATTAAACACTTGATGGCCCACTTGCGCCGCAAATGTCACAAAGGCCGCCGTGGTGACGAAGTGACGCTGGACCCGGGGGAGTTGCGGCCGTCTCTGGGGCCGGACATGTCACGCCCTCCGTCCTGTACGATGTTAGTACTCTTCACGACCCTTCCACGCCCTGGACCTCATCCACCCACCACACATTCTTCCACACGCCAGACACTGTTCCATGCACTAGATACTGTTCCACACACTAGACACTATCACACACACTAGACACTGTTCCATACACTAGACATTGTTCCATACACTAGACACTGTCCCACACACTAGACACTGTTCCACACACTAGACACTGTCACACTAGACACTGTTCCACACACACTAGACACTGTTCCACACACATTAGACACTGTTCCACACACACTAGACACTGTTCCACACACACTAGACACTGTCCCACACACTAGACACTGTTCCACACACATTAGACACTGTTCCACACACACTAGACACTGTTCCACACACATTAGACACTGTTCCACACACACTAGACACTGTTCCACACACACTAGACACTTCTACACACTAGACACTGTCCCACACACTAGACACTGTTCCACACACTAGACACTGTTCCACACACACTAGACACTGTTCTACACACTAGACACTGTCCCACACACTAGATACTGTTCCACACACTAGACACTGTTCCACACACTAGACACTGTCACACACACTAGACACTGTCACACACACTAGACACTGTCACACACACTAGACACTGTTCCACGCACACTAGACACTGTCCCACACACACTAGACACTGTCCCACACACACTAGACACTGTCCCACACACTAGACACAAATGCCACACCTTTGTCACCGCTGCGTAAGATTCTTGACAGTGTCACATAATCTCCTTGGCACTGTGACGTAAATTCCTTGACACCGTCACGTCAGATTCTCAACACCATACTGTAAGATTTTCAACACTGTCACAAAAGAGCTTAAACACCGCTACGTAAGATGGTAGGACAGAGATGGAAGGCACTTATCAGGAGAAAACGCTATGCCGGTATAGCTATGTAGCAGTTGGACGGGATATGTGGATGGGAGGGGGGGGGGGAGGAACAGTGCCTAACCACTCTGACCTTCGCAGATCGTACACCGACCCAGCAGGAGGCGAGGGGCGTCGCTCTTACGGATGGGTCAAGTGGATGGTGGCACGGCAAGATGTCTCTCCCAGGGGGTTACCGTGTGGTGATTTCGGGGCTCACCGTCCCCGCGGCCCGGTCCTCGACCAGGCCTCCTGTCGGGGTTGATAAACACTTGCGGAGATGGTGGTGGCGCAGCGTAGAGCACGACGCAACTGCACACTCCTCACCAACCTTGAGTCCCGCTGACCAACTGTTCTCCGAATAAACGCGGGATTAATCCCAGGTATTCCATCCCAAACAGTTTACAATAAACTACAAGTACCCAATAATTACAGTTTCATATTATGAGTCCTGACACCTGGCAAATGTCGTGGCGGGTTTGTATAATCCCGTAGAGATTATGAACACAAATGGTATTGAGAAAAATAAAATAGTTTTGTATTGAGAAGACAATAAAACTTAGATTACTAGCGTCGGCCGCCAGTCCAAGAATGTCTTACAACCCAAGGCCCAGTACTTTGCCAATAAGATGTATACTCAAGTCGTGGTTCAGTTCTTGGGTCCCACCTTTCTCAGTTATAGTCGAGTGAGGGAGGGAATTATCAGGAGGAAACTCCAAGTCATTACGACTATATAGCACTTGGAATTTGTCAAGTTAAGGCCTTTGTGGTCTATTTATTCCCCAAGCCACCTCTTGGGTGGATTACTCTTTATCAATCATCAATCAGGATAAGGATTTAGGATGGGACGGGAGGAAGGAATGGTGCCCAACCACTTGGACGGTCGGGGATTGAACGCCGACCTGCATGAAACGAGACCGTCGCTCTACCGTCCTTATGTTTAGTCCTTAAGTCTTAAGTTTACAACCTCTGAAGATCGCTATCAGACTTTAGGACGAAGAAGATAGGTTGAAGGTGTCAGATCTTACAATAAGGAGGATAAACCTACTGCAAGCTGAAGAGCGGAGTCCAACCTTAGGACACCGATAGGCCTAACCCCCCCCCCCCCCCACGCTGAAGGGCGGTGTCAGACTTTAATAGACACTATAAGCCGTCAATCTCGAGGAAAGATGTAGAGGTTTCGTAAGGGGAGACGGGAATGTGTGATGGGTGCTGGCCCAGCGCACGAGTTCCTCCAACACGTGTATCTTGTACGCTTATATATAAATACCTGATGATGGTAGTGGGACAGGGATATATATTGGTACTTTTTTGGTGGTCCA